ACGAACTTATACCACGACACCACACCCACCATCCACTCAACCTCAACCCCAATTCGCAAGCAACCATGTCGAAGCCAGTCCTCCCCCAAAACGACAATGTCGCCCACGCCCTCGCCGGTGCCGGCGGCGGTCTCCTCTCCATGGCCTTGACGTAAGGCCACCACAACCCTCCCCCCTCCTGTCTTATACCCCAAGAGACACTCTTCTAATCCGCGCGCACCCGCGCCAACAGCTACCCTCTCATCACCCTCTCCACCCGAGCCCAAGTCGAATCGAAGCGCGCCGACTCGGCCTTCCTCACGGCCGTCCAGAAGATCGTGGCCCGCGAGGGCGTCTCGGGCCTCTACTCGGGCCTCGAATCCGCTCTCTTCGGCATCAGCGTCACCAACTTCGTCTACTACTACTGGTACGAGTGGACCCGCGCCTTCTTCGAGGCCGCCGCCGAGAAGGCCGGTCGCGCCAGCAAGAAGCTCACGACCGTCGAGTCCATGATCGCCGGCGCCATCGCCGGCTCCGCGACCGTCATCATCACGAACCCCATCTGGGTCGTCAACACCCGCATGACCACCCGCGGCGGCAAGGGCAAGGATGTCAGCACCACCGGCGACGAGGAGGCCCAGGCCGCGAAGCCCAAGAAGGCGCCCTCGACCATCGGCACCCTCCTGGCGCTCCTCAAGAATGAGGGACCACAGGCGCTCTTCAACGGCGTCATCCCGGCGCTGGTGCTCGTCATCAACCCCATCCTGCAGTACACCCTCTTTGAGCAGATGAAGAACACGGTTGAGAAGAAGAGGCGGGTCACGCCGACCATTGCCTTCTTCCTAGGCGCCGCGGGCAAGCTGTTTGCGACCTCGGTCACCTACCCGTACATCACGGTCAAGAGCCAGATGCACGTCGCCGGCAACGGCGAGAAGAAGGAGGGCATGTCCCAGGCCATTAGCAGGGTCATCCGCGAGGAGGGATACGCCGGTCTCTACAAGGGTGAGTGATTACCTCGGATGTCGTTCCGAGATGGTGTCCCCCCCCTTTTTTCGGTTCTGCAATGCTGACTTTTTTCTTTTTTTTCACAGGTATCGGCCCCAAGGTCACCCAGAGTGTGTTGACCGCCGCATTGCTCTTTGCCTTCAAGGATGTTCTCTACGAGCAGACCGTGAAGCTCAGGTCGATTGCCGCCAAGAAGCGCGCGTAAAATTCACGTCCAAAGAAGATCCCGACTTACCCCTCCCCCGCTCCGAGTCAAACAACATGACATCGGGGTAGGTGGAGGGATGGGACATACCAGCATATATATGTAGACACAAGTAAGCTAGAGGCAACAAGTGCGCATATCAGCGTGAGCCGCTCAGCGTATATGCAAGCAAGCAGTCATTTTTTATGACGAGACAAGAACCTGTATTGATTTTTATGTGGGAATATCAACACGGGGGTCAAAAAACGGGTTGGATAAAGCGTTGAACGGACACATGGGATTACTTTGGATTTAGGTCTCACATGAATCCCGGCATCTTTGGAAAGGGGGTGGGTGGGTGTATTCTATGAATTTGTTTTTTTTTTCTCTTGGAAAGTAGGATATCAATAATCCACCACATATCTACTTCTCATGTGCCACATATCTTCTCTAACAAAAGTCATATAAATCTCATGCGACGGGTATGATTCGCGGAACGATCCACCACTCGTGATATGACTTGTCAGGAGTCGGCACCTCGGCCTTGACCTTCAGTTCTCCGCCCTCGCCGCCCGACTTGTCCAGCGCCTTTCGCACAACCGACACGGCCAACCCCGTGGCGATGCACGCCTTGAGCCCGTTCTTCACCGACGGCACCCACCGATCATGCGACCCGACGGAAAACGCCTCGGCCTCGGAAAACTTGCTCATCACCTCCAGCGCCCTTTTCGCGCCCGCCACAGCCCGGTCGGCAAGCTCCAGCAGGTCGCGCGTCGGGCAGTCTGACTGCGAGGTGCCGACGGTGTATTCCTCAAACGTCGGGAGCGAGGGCAGGCCGATGGCGGCGAAGGGCTTCATGCGCAGCTCGTAGCGGAGCTCGTCGGTGCTGTAGGGTCGCGGGGGCGGGGTGATGAGGTGGTGGCGGTGGAGGACGGTGTAGAGGCAGCAGAGGGCGTCGGCGAGGCTTTCTGTCGCGGCGGCGTCGAGGAGGGTTTGGCGGAGGAAGGAGAGGGATTTGGTGTATTGGGCTTCTGCGACGGGTGTGAGGCCCCCAGAGGACGATGATGATGTTGTTGATTTGTTGCTGGCCCCTGAGCGGGCTTGGTTCAGACTCCGGACGACGAACGATTTTATGCGCTCGACGTGTGTAAGGCGGTTCTTTGCGAGGAAGTTGAGGTACCAGTACATGCCGGCCAGCTCGTCCGGCTGGTAGACCTCAAGCTCGAAGCCGAGCTGGACGATCCACTCCATCTGTTTGATCTTGTACAGGTACGCCCACGACGAGAGCGGAAGGGACCACTGCTCGACGGGCTGGCCGGCGGCCGACTGATACACGAGGGGCCGCTCGCCGGTGTGCTCCTGAAGGACCTGGTCGATGTCCTCAGCGTCGAACTGGAGGCTCTCCCAGTCGCGGACAATGTGGCACAGGGTGCGGCGGACGCGGCACCGGTTCTGGCAAAAGGTGCGGAGGATGTCGAGGTAAGGCTGGGCGGCGCGCCTGCGGAAGGATTCCATGGTGTCGGCGATGGCTACACGCGGGTCCTGCGGGGCCTCGACGTCGTCGTTGGCGCGGTCGAGAAGGGGGCTGTTGGGGAGGGAGACGATGGAGAGGTCGTCGTCGAGGAGCTGGCGGATGGACTTGTGGCCGAGGACTTGCATGTCTTTGAAGAGGAAGCTTTGGAGGAGGGTGCGGACGAAGATGAGGGGCTGGGGCTTCTTCGCTTGGAAGGTTGTGACGTAGGTCTAGACGTTTTTGTATGAGTAGTTGATCAAAAGAATGGGGATGTGTTTGTGAGATAAGTACCTGGAGGCAGATGGCGTCGGTGTAGTCGAGCACTCCCACAACTTCCAGTCCGTCGCTAATCATCTTCGTGAGGTGCCCAAAGGCGTCGTCAAAACTTATCTCGACAATCGGTCGCGGCGGCATCGTGCTGGCGAGCTTGCGTTGCAGTTTCGCACTACAAGCCTCAGGCACGGGCTTTCCGAGCGCATGAGTGCTCTTAATACCAGAAAGCAAATCCAGAGCCTCTTTCCAAGGGCTTCTGATGAGGGCCGGGTCTGTCCGGTACTGCGTGTGGTCTATGGCTGCGAGGAACGTGTATCGGAGGAGTAGCCTATTGTTGAGGGCCTCTATGGTTTCCTTTGGTATTGAATCCGATAGTTGCCGCAGAATGAAGCTTGCGTCCTTGAGGACATCGCGTACAGACTCTACGCTGAAATCATCGAGGAGGATCCTGTTATACGTATTTGTGACAAAGTCCTCTTCCTATACCAGTTGGTTAGCTGAGGAGATGGATGTGTGTGGAGGTGAGGCAAGTCGCTGTGCGAAAAGACTCACTTCATAGTAATGCTCATTCTTGATCCTCTCGTTGACATTGCCGCACGTCTTTAAGAGTCCCAAGCAATATGCTCGAAGAACGGCATGCATCGGCGCCGGCGGCGTGCCGCTGGCATCCCTGATGAAGTGCGCGTCGTCGATGGTGGCAGGATTCGGCATGAGAATCGACTCGACGTATACGCTTGTGAGGACGGTCTGAGAGAGAGGATATCCAACATGCCAGGCCATCTGCAAACCAAGTCAGCAGAGAGAAAATGACTCTACCGGCGCGATACTAACTTCATGGCAGAGCAGCTGGTCGATTATGCCAAGAACCTCCTCAGGGAGAAGAGGGCGTGTCACATCATAGTCCACGTCTAGCGAATCCTCGGCTTCCAAGCAACCGCTGTCCATCTTCGGGTCCATGATCTGGGTGGCCGTCAGTAGGGAGCCCCTCATAGTCTCCGTCAAACCCCTCATCGGCCCACGTACCTCGAGAGCCCCAACGGACTCAAACAACGTGAAGAAGCCATCCTTGACCAGTTCGCCAGGGGCAAGCGCTGCGTAAGACGGTCAGTCCAACATCCTGTTTTCGTTATGGTAGGATTTCTGCAGCTTACTTTCCGCGGCTGTCTTGAATTTTGACGTGATATCAAAAGCGACGATGCCGTTGTTTGACGCCTTGGGCGGAGGCGGCGGAGGGTGGGGTTGGCGGTCCAGCTCAAGCGAGAGCCTTGAAATGTCTTGAGAATTGGTGAGTGGAACGTGATGCCAAAAAAGGGTCTTGATCGGGCTGGGATATTTCCTTACCATCAGACATTCCAAAGCCGGACGGGATGGCCATATCAGCAACTGCACCTCATGAGACTCTTGGGTTGAGTGAGTGCGTTGAGTGCAGGTTTTAGTGAGGTCACAGTTGCATTGGCCTGGGCATGGATATGCCCATCAAGGAGAAAAAAAGGCCGGTAAATTCGGGAACACGATGATTGCCCTAAGTCCCTTATGGAATGATTTTCAACAAGCAGTTGAGAATAAAAGTGCAACGGTAACGTTTTTTGTCTCTACATGAAAACTGCGAATTTGGTGTTGTTGCAAATTACGGGTATATGGAACGGGAAACATGGAGTGATTGACTGATCACAACCGAATTTGTCCGGCAGGCGGGCAAATTTGGGTGGAGGGAACCTGGAAAGCACGCCCAACATTCTGGCCGACGTCGAGCGAAAGCGCGCGCTGGTCACCCGCAACCCGCCCCCGACATCGCAACATTTCATCACCGGCCCCTCGCAGTGCACGTATTCAATTTAGATCGATCAACAAAGTCTTAGCATGGCATTTCGATTGATAGATTTTATGCCCAGTTTTTCATATGATACAGCAGCTCAACTGTCAAGCTGAAGCCGGCGGGTACCCGGGGAGGGTGTCTTCACTCCCCATCATTCCCCATCTATCCCTCGACAACCCTCGGATGCAACTCCCTCTTTGTCTCTCTCACACGTGTGTCGGTTCGGAAATTTACGAAGAAGGGGGAGGAGCGTTGACGGTGGCCTCAGCAAGGTTCTTGACCTCGCCCTGCTTGCCGTTCTGCGATTGCGGTACATTGGAGTCAGCCATTCTGTTCGATGCCCATCGCCATATGTTCGGATCGCTTTCTCACCTCCCACTTGGCGAAACGGAGATCCATCTCTCCACGACGCTCAGCAATGAGTCTCTTGTCCTCCTTCAAGCTGCGGCGCACGACGCGCGAGGCGACGGCGAGGTAGCGGTTGTAGCTGGAAATCGGGGGTTGCCGGGTCAGCTTTTTCCTTCCTTTTCTCTCTCGGCTTTGGTCGCGGGTGCTGCCCAATTGCAACGGGTGCAAAGAAGGCTCGGGAGAAGGGCGTTCGTCAATTGAACTCACGTGATACCGGCGGCTTTCCAGGCGAAGACCATTTTGGCGGTTTGTTTGGTTTTGTTGATGGACGAGGTTATATGGGGGGGCAGTCAGCTCGGGCGGATGTGATCAATTGAAGGTTTCTGGATTCCCCGAAGTGCAAGCTCCGAGTTCGATGCCTTTGTGGCCTGAGGCAGACTGAGCCTCAAGCGACGAGGACGGCACTGGACGGCTGAGCGGGTCTCCACTCTTCTCAGGTGCTCTGTGCCTCACAGGCCTCGAAGCCAGGTACTTTGGTACTTGACCACTCAGAACTCGGAAAGATGAGATGGCAGCATCCCTTTCTGATATTCAAACTTCACTGCAGCAACACAACACGAAATCTTTATCGCTTGTCACCACGAGTAGCCTCGTTGGAGCCGGATCTTGCGGCTGTGAGGTCACGGCTATTCGGCGTTAAGCTTTGCACCATTTTGAGGCTGTAATGCTCAGCTGCGTCATCGCCTTTTACATGTCTAGTGCGACTTACAACGTGGAACGGGTTTCGCAGGAAAGTTGTTAGTCTAAGAGTTCGTGTAAAACGGGATTCCGGAGCAATTATCTTGGGACTCTACGCAACCACTCAAGAAGCCACCGTCCTCCCTAGCCACATACGACATGTTCCTGGACACTTTCTCTGATGTTTTTCGAGTGATGACAACGACTATTGCGTTTGTGCTTGAGTACTAGCGAATGCAGGTGCGAGAGAGCCGCGTCTAGGTATCCTCCTTCTTCGATGCTTGCCAAACGGGCAGACTAACGTCGTTGATTCAATTCCGGCACCACTAATCCGGTGGCATGTACTTAACACGCTTCTGTCCACGCGAACTTCCTTCCGTTTGTCTTGCCTTGGGAGATACATCTAATGTACCACGCTATCCTCGCCAAACAAGACCTTCAATACACGAGTTATAAGTACTTCGAGCCTGTCAAATTAAGCAGAGCACTTGCGTTGTCTACCCCAGTATCTTTAATTGGACCCACCCGTTAAGAGCGTCAACTACGTGAGGTTGAACTGTCATCACTCACCCGATAGCCCTTGTCAGCCATGTCAAATCCCAAGATAGCAATCATAGGAGCAGGACCTGCAGGTAAGCTGCTTATTTTTAAAACATCCGTACTACACCACGACCACGCTCATACGGATCTGCCCAGTCAGCGTGCAAACTGACAAATCTCCCGCCAGGATGTCTACTAGCACGCCTCTTACACCTCGCCAAGATCGAAGCCACCGTCTTCGAGAGCGAGGCCTCGCCAAACTTTCGATCGCAGGGCGGGAGTCTGGATCTACACACAGACACCGGGCTGGCCGCGCTTAAGGAGGCAGGCCTCTTTGACGAGTTCCTCAAGCACGCGCGGTACGACGGCCAGTACATGGCCATCGTCGATAAGGACAACAAGCCGTGGTTCGTCAATTCCGCGACGGGGCTCGGCAGCTCGCTGCAGGAGCGTCCGGAGATTGACCGGCCCAAGTTGCGTGAGATTCTTGCCGAGTCTCTTCCGCCGGATATGATTAAATGGGGTCACCGACTCAAGGAAGTCAGAGAGGACGGCAGTCTTGTGTTTGGACATACTAGTATTGGTGGTTTCGATCTGGTTGTAGGCGCAGACGGGGCGTGGAGCAAGGTTCGCAAGCTTCTGGCGCCGGATATCAAGCCTCTGTGGACGGGAATCAAGTTATTCGGCATGAGCATCCCGAACGCGGCCGAGACGGCTCCTCAAGTGTACAAGCTCGCCAACAGGGGTAGCGTCTTTGCCAACAGCGATGGCAAGCGTCTCTCGATTCAACAGATGGGCGACGGCAGCCTGAGCATATATGCGTCGAGCACTGGCGGCGGCGGGGAGGACTGGGCGTCTCCCGAGGTCTGCGGGTATGATCCGCACGACCTCGAGGCAGTCAAGAAGGCGCTTCTGGTCTTATATCAGGACTGGGCTCCGGAGCTCACCGAGGCGATCATCAATGCTGCGGGGGAGTGCACTCCTAGGTCGCTTTATATGCTCCCCGTGGGCTTCACCTGGCCGCACCGGCGCGGCGTGACAGTCATTGGAGATGCGGCGCACTTGATGACGCCATTTGCTGGCGAGGGAGTCAATGTTGCGCTTGAGGATGCGATGAAGCTGGCCAAAGCCATCATCAGCGCCGTCGCCGAGAGCAGTGATGCAAGTGCAGATGCCCCCAGATATCTAGATAAGAGGATCGAGGCGTTTGAGAAGGACATGTTCCCCCGGATGGAAAAGGTGCAGCGGCTGACGGACGAGCTCATGCACGACTTCATGTTCACTGAAGGTTCGCCGCGGACGACCATCGCGAGGTCGATAGCGAGGCATGTCAAGTTCGAGACGCCGTGGGTGTTGCATCCGTTGGCGAGTGCCATGGTACACTCGTTCTTTTTCATGCGAAGGATGCTGGCGTCTTAGTAGGAAGCAGGTGTGGCTGAGCTCCTTTTTGTAGAATGCGGTGAGGTATGGAACGAAGCACGATAGGTTTTGGAGTCGGGTTAAGGTCCCTGTAGCCCATGTTCATGCTTTATTTTCCGCACTTGGTGCCAATGGAACCCATGACTCTGGGAAGGGGGGGGGGGGGGGGGGGGGAAGGGGCAAGGTTGTCTTTTTTTTGGTGGTGGGGGGGGTGTGGTGTAGAGACGATCGGTCGGTTGGTTTCGGTGTTGTTCTTGCGTTTGTGTTCGTTTTTTTGTTTTTTTTTTCCGCTGGCGGGGGGATCGCACGCGGGGGGGGGGGGGGGGGGGGGGGGGGGGGGGGGGAGAAAGGACAAGGTGATCTTCTAGTTTGGCGAGTGGCGCAGTGCCCTGTCACGACCTGTCAACCGCAAGAAACGTGGCCAGGATTCCAGTAATGACAAGCTCTGGATGCAACTGCTAGCACAAGATTTCGAAAGAGCTCAATGGTTCGTGGCGTAGATCATGGAGAATAAAGTACAACGAACCACTCGAGGATTGGCCCTATGGTTGCAGTCTGGTGATGTAAGGATGCGACTGAGCCATGGACAGCCCAGCCAGGAGGGAAAAGGTTGAAACACCAGACTCGTTTTCCTCTGACAACGGCTCGCAGGGTTTAGACGTCGAGCAAACACACCGTTACTCTCTGGTAGACTCGAATGACAGGAGGATAAATGGAAAGCTTGAATGCACTGACCGTGGCTTCGTTGGCTTTTACCTCATCAGGGCGTCTGAAGAAAGAGCATCTATCCGTACAGTTCTGGAGCTAGCCGGAGTAACGCCCGGACGCTTCTCTCCATCCTGTATCTTGCACATGCGAGGTAGTGCATATCAGGTGGGCGTCCATCGCGATGAAGTTGAGATGTTCCCTTCCGATATGAGGACTAGCTTTGAGATGTTCGTAGTGCACCCCGCTCTGCAGAGCAAACATCACAGACTATCAATGTTTTGAAACATTCGTTAGTGTTTCATCCATGATGTTGTATGCAATTTCAGGCTCAAGGGGTGTGATAGTCCTGGTTCTGGTTGACATAGTGGTTGAGTGGTGGTGATGAACGATGAGTGGTGAGTGGTGAGTGCCCTGGTGAGTGGTACCGAGTTGCATGTCGGGTGGCTGGTAAACGGGGCACGTGCACCCTGGATTCATCCTTGACCGGGGTGTCAAGCCACCGAGGAGCCAGTGGAAGGAGTCCAGTCAGCGCTCCACTGTCAGGATGAGGTGACGGGCAGCGGACTTGGACTGGGGGGGCCGCTTTGCAGTACACCCGACGAGTACCGTGCCACGCGTGCCACGAGGTACTCCGTACCTTATGCTTTACCTTTGTTACTCCGTTCTCTGACTGGGGGGAGGGGGATGACGGCGAACCAGGGCATAGGAACAGCCAAAGGGGCAAGGTTAAAGAAAGAGGAGAACACTGAAGAAGAAAAAAGGCAGAGCATGGAAAGTGTGCGGTCCCGTCCCCCTGGCCTTGGGGGCCTTTCCAATCTTTGGGCTGTAGAAGTTCTGGGTCTTTGGGCCGAAAAAAAGCTACGGATACGGCCAGAGACCTCTCCGCTTTCCGAACACGGTTCGACATTGCATATACGTGCTGCCACTTGTACCTCGTACATACATACTTCACCTGAAATTCCACATCCTAATTGCTGTGCTGTGCTTCCTGCTCTGCATTCTGCAATGCCTTTTTGCGCTCTGCCATCTGCAACCGATCCTGGGCTTGTCGACTTTTCCTCCCTGAGGTTTCGCTACTAATAACACAATCTGCGACATTCTGCGCGCCTCACATCTTGTTACGGACGACAACGCCATCGACGGCGTCCCCGATAACGTCTCACCCACCACCTATATCGCAGAACTTCCGCTCGCTTCTTCGGGACGCGTTTTAGCCCTTGCTTCTACAGCTTCCATCTCGCCCACAGAACATCCACCCACCCTTCGTACCGAACCGGACGGCTTCCCTACCGCCGACCACCGTTCGCCGTATCGATCTCTCCGCCCTCGGACTAGGCATCGGATGAGACGAAGCTCACCATATTGCCCCGACGTACGCACATACACCTCGGCAGCAGCTTCGCAGAGTCCGTCCTTTGCTGTCTTTGCTTCCCGTGGCATGAACTTCAATTTTCTGCTTCAATAAACGTTTGCGAGCCGATCCAGCCATTTCCACACGCTTCTCCCGACTCACTCGGCTTAACTTTTTGGGTACCTTATCTCGGAGAATCTGTTTGGGGAAGCGCAAGGAAGAGGTGGACCAGATCATCGCAAAGACAGAAAACCCGCCGACTTGAGTTACGATGCAGGCGCCGACCCCTTCTCAGCGCATGCAACGGCGCTCCCCAGGTGCCGAACCTGGGCCGCCACCAAATGTGCCCGTCCGGTCAATATCACCGGGTACCGGTATGCAGCCGAGAGCTTCCAACGCCTCGAACCGATCCGCTCCGCCAAATGGGATGCGGAGGTCAAATGTGAGTCTGAATACGCATTTCGACATCCGGAAAGCCACCCTCGAGCTTCCACCAGATACGATGACTGCGCAACGAGTCCTTGAGCCTCTGCCACCACTGTT